TGTGAGTTTACTTGTGCCTCGTACAGAATCTTGCAACCCCTACTGTCAAGCAGATGCGAGATACGGCGAAGAGCTATAAGCTTTCTGGCTGCCTTGTTTGCAAGATTTACAACATGGTTCTTCATGGTTAGTTTGGAGTCAAATTTCACCCCAAGAATATCAACTTCTCCAGGTGCCAACACCCTCCCATTCATCCTTACTACTGCACCAGCATTACCATCATGGTGCCTAGAGACGATCATCATTTGTGTTTTCTCAGGTGCAAATGTTACTTGCCATCTATTTCCCCAAGCTGATATAGCTCTCAGCTAGTGATTGATATAGCTTAGAGCAGCTGGCATTTCTTCTCTTGGATAAGTGAATGTCAGTGTACAGTCATCTGCATATGCATGTGATTCTGGGATGAGATGAAGAAGGTTGTTGAAGTAGACATTCCATAACAATGGTCCCAGTACGCTTCCTTGTGGAACACTTGCCCCAATAGGATGTCTTGCTGATTCCATTCCATTGAGAACTACACTTCGAGATCTACCATGAAGGTAATCACTAGAGCCTGCAATTCCCAGTGCTTGAAGTTTTGCTAAGAGGCCCTGGTGCCACACCCAGTCAAAAGCGCCAGCAATGTCCCGTGCTACCACACAGCTGCTTTGGATTCATCCAGTGACTGGTGCCACTTAGTGGAGAGGTTTAACAACACATCAGCAGCAGAATAACCTTTCCTGAAGCCATATTGACGATCATAAAGTAGTGAGTGGTAGTCAAAAAACTCTGTCATTTGTCTTGAGATTATTGTCTCAAGGATCTTACCAGTGATTGACAGGAGTGACACTGGTCTGTAGTTGCTGATTTCTGCTCTGCTCTTCTTTTTGTGAACAGGGACTACATTTGCCTCTCCATAGAGAGGGCCATTTACACTGTACTAGGCAGTGCTGAAAGATGCGAGTTAAGAGGTGCTGCTAGCTGGTCTGCACATCTCAGCAATCTTGGGCTCAACTTGTCTGGGCCCACAGCCTTTTCTTGGTCAAGCGATTTAAGAAGGAAATGCATCTCCTCCTGCCTTATTGTCACCAACGACAGTTTTGACAGTTCTTGCAGCTAGCCAAGGAGGGTCTCTTGCTGGATCCGGAACTTGCATTTTGGTAGCAAAGTGTTCAGCAAAGAGGTCCACCTTCTCTTGACTACTAGTAGAGGTGGTCCCATCCTGTCGATTTAGAGGTGGAATGAGTTCATCAGGCCGATAACCTTGTCTGTCCTTGACCAGGGACCACCAGGTTTTGGAGCCTACCCTACCTGATGCTAGCTTTCTTTTAGTGTCCACCTCCCATTTAGCAATGGCCCACTTTTGAACGTCACCCATATACCTACAGGCTTGCCTGTGCAAGTTCCTGTTATAGGTGGTAGGATGTCTCTTATACCTTCGCCATGCTTTGTACTTAGCAGTAGCAGCCTCTCTACAACGAAAGCCAAACCAAGGCTGATCTGTAGGCTTCGTCACATATTGCCGGTGAGGAATGTGTTCTTGTTGTAGATTAAGGATGTGTCCAGTGAAGACTTTCACTTGGTTGTCAACATCCCCTTGGAGAAGAGCATTCCAATCGGTGGTGACGAGCTCAGAGCAAAGGGCTGGGCAATTACCTCTTTCCCATAGCCAGGTTGTGCGTGTGGACTCCTCACCTCGTTCTGTTGGGATCTTAAGTGTCGTAAAAACAGCCTTGTGGTCAGACGATCCAACATAGCCGAGGGGTTGACAAGTGACTATGCCTTCTGCCAGATCACTAGCTACTGGGTCAGGGGAGGAGCCAGAGATGTGAGTAGGGAAATCAACAAAGTTGCTCATGTCAAACATTGCAAGAAGGTCATCAAAGTCCCTCTGTATAAGGTGCTGGTTGAGGTCACCAACAATTATGATATATTGACAGTTGCGTTGTAGCAGAAGGGAGTCAATATTTTCCATTAGGATGTTGATGGGGTCTGCATGTTGCCACTGAGGTCAATATTTTCCATTAGTATGTTGATGGGGTCTGCATGTTGCCACTGAGGTCTGTACATTGCACATGCTAGTACAGAGGTACTAGTGTTTATGCAGAGCTTGAAGAACATCATTTCAAGATTCTCTCTCTCTCTCTCTCATATATATATATATATATATATATATATATATATATATATATCTCTATATCTCTCTCTCTATATCTCTCTCTCTATATCTCTCTCTCTATATCTCTCTCTATATCTCTCTCTCTATATCTCTCTCTATATCTCTATCTCTATATCTCTATCTCTATATCTCTATCTCTATATCTCTATCTATATTTCTATATCTCTCTCTCTCTCTATATATCTCTCTCTCTATCTCTCTATATCTCTCTCTCTCTATATCTCTCTATATCTCTCTCTCTCTATATATCTCTCTCTCTCTATCTCTCTCTCTCTCTATATCTCTCTCTCTCTATATATATATCTCTCTCTATCTCTCTCTCTCTCTCTCTCTATCTCTCTCTCTCTCTCTCTCTATATATCTCTCTATATCTCTCTCTCTCTATATATATATATATCTCTCTCTCTCTCTATATCTCTCTCTCTCTCTTTCTCTCTCTCTCTCTCTTTATCTCTCTCTCTCTTTATCTCTCTTTCTTTATCTCTCTCTCTATATCTCTCTCTATATCTCTCTACCTCTCTCTTATCTTTTTTTTTTTTACACAGGGTTTGACAAGGTTAAGGATCCCTAGCTTTATTGACATGCTATTTACAGGTTAAGGATTCCTAACTTTATTGGCAAGCTAAGAGCTGTTGCCTACATCAGCTCATTTGAAAGCATTTTTATTGTTATGAGACATACAAGTAGGGAACAGGATGAAGTTGGAGCCATCTGTGGGCCAGCATTTTCATTTGATCAACTGACTTTATCTCGTTGACATCGTTATGCTGTACGAATGTGTTCCATACTCGAGTCATCCTGGGTATATAGGATCTCAGATGGAGTAAAGTTCTGGAGAAGGGTACAGCCAGAGTGAAGTTGCTGCTTTCTGCCCGTCTTGTGGCATAAAAGCTTGTTTCACGCTCTCCTCGAAGTGGATCCAAGTGTGGTACTTTGACAATACAGTGGACCCTCGCATAACGATCATCTCCCAATGCGACCATTTATGTAAGTGTGTTTGTACGCGTATGTTTGAGGGTCTGAAATGGACTAATCTACTTCACAATATTCCTTATGGGAACAATTTCGGTCAGTACTGGCACCTGAACATACTTCTGGAATGAAAAAATATTGTTTACCGGGGATCCACTGTATTGGCCTTGTACATAACAGTAAGGCCACCCACATCCCTCCTATGTTGAAGCTCTCTCTATCTATCTCTATCTATCTAGCTCTATCTCTCTCTCACACACACACACATATTCATGGTGATTTATAAAAGTTGAGTTTGAAATTAAATTAGTTTTTTTTGGTGGCATATTTAGGATTTAAACTATAAAAATAGGCATTTCTTTTTTTTTTTAGTCTCCGGAATTCGTGTCCCCCCCCCCCCCATCCCTCTCTCTTCCCCAAAATTTGCGGGTGGTCTTGGAACATGACCCCGCGAATAAGGGGGAACTGCTGTAGCTCCATCATTATCCTCACAACATTACATGGAGGCTATTAATAACTTCCTGAAGAAACCATACCACGGGTGGGATTTGAACCCACGGTCAGAGTGTCTCAAAACTCCAGACCATTGCGTTAGCCACTTCCTGAAGAGATGCATCGCAGCTGCTGTTGTCTTTACACTTGTGAAGTTGACCATGCTGAAAGAAAATGTGTTCATTATTGTATACTGGTAGTATCCATTTGTTTGAGGTATCATTACCGTTAGGGGTTCATCAAGAAATGAAGTTCGCCTGCATCATCATTCTGCACAGTTTGGCAGTATTCTGCTTTGTCTTCATATTGGCAGGGATTGGGTGCAAGATGTGCATCCTCCTTCCAATCTCAGACATGGTCTGTTGGTGTTTGCTGGATACTTGCAATGTATAAGTTTTTCCTTTGGCTGGTGCTACATGCCTCTTTGCCCCACCAACCGATGCTACATGTGCTGCTGGCATTGCTTGCGACCCACTACCCTTGCTAATGGAAGCACCAGCATCATCTCTATCACACTGGAGTTGTGTCCCATGGTCTACCACATCTCTTGAGGATAGCACTAGGGACACTACTGGATCACTTGTCAACCTTTTGCTTATGGCATGGTCTTTGTGTGGTTGTGCTTACGCCTGAGGTAGATGTTTAGGGGATCAGGGTTTTCAGTACTGTTCCCAGTTTTCTTTCCTGTCACTTTGTCTTCTGACCAATAAAACTTATCATATTCTACATCCTCTTTGTTGTTGTCACAGAAATAAGACTCTTAATGCACTTGAGTGTGAGACTATTGCTTCATTGCTGCATGTTGAGCTTAGATAGCATTCACATAGTGCATTGCAAAGGCCCCAATTTTTTCTTTACTGCACATTCTGACCTATTCTCTCATCCCAAGGCCTCCCAGGCCTCCTACGCGAAATTTTGGAAAGCACTAGAAATTACATATTGACCGATGTGAGCTACACTGGCCTCAATAATGTAAATGGACATGGGAGATAATTAAAATTAATCACCATTTAGTTGTGAATATTGTTACGTGATGTATTCTTTCTTGGGAAAAACAGTTCTTTAACCTTCTGAGGCAGTACATCTCCATGTTCACACTACTTTTTTTCTTATTCCTTTGTCATTTATATGGCTCTCCAGAGTGTGGCCATTTCTTCTTAGAAAAAAGCCTCCTTTTAACGATGTTAGTTTTTCTTTCTTTCTTTCTTTCTTTCTTTCTTTTTCTTCATCAAACTGGTTATATCCCACTGAGGCAGGGTGACCTAAAAGGAAAAACGAAAGTTTCTCTTTTTAAATTTAGTAAACTTATGTTTTATACATTCCATTTAGTATTATTGACATTAACTAGCTTTAGTTTTAAGAAACATATTCTTTTCAGGTTTACCTCCAACTGGTAGCTGGCAGGACCTAAAAGATCACATGCGAGAAGCAGGTGATGTGTGCTATGCAGATGTTTACAAAGATGGCACAGGTGTCGTTGAATTTCTCCGTTATGAGGATATGAAATATGCTGTTAAGAAGTTAGATGACTCAAAATTTCGATCACATGAGGTAAGAATATACAGGGTTGTGTACATAGTTCATTCTTTACTCAAATTAATTTTAATTAAATTATACAAGCAGTACTGTACAAAAATTGTCTTCATAGTAGTAACATACAGGAGGACCCCATTTGTATAGCTCTTAGGTTCCTGACCCTTTGCAATAAGTGAAAATTGCTGGCTGGTGGGAAATTTTTTTTTTTATCAAATGCATTTAAAACACCTGATAATGTTTACACTTATGTACATGTACTAAGTTGTCAATGCAGCTAGGCATAAAAGAAAAAGGTACAAAAAGCTAAATAAATTCACAGTACATGTATTATTTACCTTAAAATATGGTGCCAGTCATCCTTCCCTTGCTCAGTTGTGTGAAAACGGTGGGAAAGTGGTAAAAGCACCTACTGTATTGAACAGTGACTAAGTTGAAAGCCAACAAAAATTTGGAGCACCAAAAAGTGGATGCCAAGTACATGGAGCCCTCCTGTACATAGATTTTAAGAAAGGCTTTGATAAGTACATACCACCAAGGATTGGTAGGTAAAATTAAAATAGCAGTTAACTTTCAAATAAGTGATGAGGTTAATTCTTAGGAGGAGCCTGTGATTTTAAATGGCAAATACCTGAGTAGGTGAAGGGAGAGAAAGTTAAAATTTTAAGAATTTTTACCATGTAAAGTGAAGTTTACCTTGAGAGCGTTCCAGGGGTCAATGTGGATAGGGGAGCAATGTGGCAGATGTTGCAAGTATATAGAATAGGTGGTAAGTTACTAAATGCTGTTAAGAGTTTTTATGAGGATAGTGAGGCTCAGGTTAGGGTGTGTAGAAGAGAGGGAGACTACTTCCCGGTAAAAGTAGGTCTTAGACAGGGATGTGTAATGTCACCATGGTTGTTTAATATATTTATAGATGGGGTTGTAAAAGAAGTAAATGCTAGGGTGTTCAGGAGAGGGGTGGGATTAAATTATGGGGAATCAAATACAAAATGGGAATTGAGTTACTTTTTGCTGATGATACTGTGCTTATGGGAGATTCTAAAGAAAAATTGCAAAGGTTAGTGGATGAGTTTGGGAGTGTGTAAAGGTAGAAAGTTGAAAGTGAAAATAGAAAAGAGTAAGGTGATGAGGGTATCGAATGATTAAGGATGAGGTTAATCATAGAATTGATGAGGGAAAAAAAGGTGAGTGGTGCATTGAGGTACATGTGGAATCAAAAAACATCTGTGGAGGCAATGAAGGGAATGTATGAAAGTATAGTAGTACCAACACTCTTATATGGGTGTGAAGCTTGGGTTGTGAATGCAGCAGCGAGGAGGCGGTTGGAGGCAGTGGAGATGCCCTGTCTAAGGGCAATGTGTGGTGTAAATATGCAGAAAATTCGGAGTGTGGAAATTAGGAGGTGTGGAGTTAATAAAAGTATTAGTCAGAGGGCTGAAGAGGGGATGTTGAGGGGGTTTGGTTATTTAGAGAGAATGGATCAAAGTAGAATGACATGGAGAATATTTAAATCTGTAGGAGAAGGAAGGCGGGGAAGGGGTCGTCCTCGAAAAGGTTGGAAGGAAGGGGTAAGGGAGGTTTTGTGGACGAGAGGCTTGGACTTCCAGCAGGCGTGCAGGAGCGTGTTTGATAGGAGTGAATGGAGACGAGTGGTATTTGGGACCTGATGATCTATTGGAGTGTGAGCAGGGTAATATTTAGGAAGGGATTCAGGAAAACCGGTTATTTTTATATAGCCAGACTTGAGTCGTAGAAATGGGATGTACGTACAATGCCTCCACTCTAAAGGAGGGGTTTGGGATATTAGCAGTTTGGAAGGATATGTTGTGTATCTTTATACGTATATGCTTCTAAACTGTTGTGTTCTGAGCACCTCTGCAAAAGCAGTGATTGTGTGTGAGTGAGTGAGGTGAAAGTGTTGAATGATGATGAAAGTATTTTCTTTTTTGGGTCACCCTGCCTCGGTGGGAGATGGCCAACTTGTTGAAAAAAAAAAAATGTTGGTAGAATTACCAACGATATGTAAAGTAAAAGGACACAAGTGCAACTAATGTGACATTTTATTGTGGCAACGTTTCATTCTCCAGGAGCTTTGTCAAGCCAGGTAACGGCTTGACAAAGCTCCTGGAGAGCGAAACATTGCCACAATTAAATAAAATAATGCTAAAAGCTTTTATAAGGAGGGTGAGGCTTAGGCTAGAGTATAAAGGAGAAAATGGGACTGTTTTCTAGTTTTTTAAATACATTTATCGGATGAGGGGTTGTAGAAGTGAGTACTGGTGTTGGGTAGTTAAAGGATTCAGAAACCTCTTAGCTAGATTTAGTTTCTCCTTTGATAGTTGGGTAGATTTGAATTGGGATTGTTGAGTGGCCTGAGTGCTTGGCTAAGCGAGGCACCCATTTTGCAGCTTTCATCAAAATTTACAGTAATTTGTTGCCGAAGACTTGGAAAGAATTATATCTGTAGTTTGAACTCGGATTACTGTAGTTTTTATTACAGTAGTTTGTGAAAGGAACATGTAAAATACTTGTGCATAATAATGTCAAATGATATACCATGTAAAGAACACAGCAAAGGCTAAAGAAATGACAGTGGATAATGAGAGCTCTTAAAAAAAATAAAAATAATTCCAATGGTTATGCTGTTCAAATCGCCTTTGCTTTTTCATTTTGTATATATTGCTCTGTGTTGACAGCTCCATTCAAAGTAGGAGAGAGATCAGGGCTGGAAAAGATAAAGATCAATTACTGCTTGCATATAGCTAATAAAACATCAGCCTTGGAATACTGGGAGTGTACTCTCTGGAGGAAAGAATATACCTGACATTACTTACATGAAAGCCACTTGAGGGCCCAATTCCTAGTCTACACACTACCATAACAATGCACTGGAGTGAGATATTGAAAGTGTAAAATTTATCCAGTTAAAGGGGCACCACAGGTGCAATAAGGGAACATGTTTAACATCCCACTTGTTTCCTCAAGGTAGGTTCCCTGATGCTGGTGAGGGGCACTTGATGTAAGGAAATTACCTGTCCTTCCCTTCCTTGGTTGGAACCTGATTGCCACCGATTCCCCTAGGTTGTGTATGACTAGAACAGGATTAGTTCTCTCCCTCTAAATGTGTTAAAATCCATGGTCCAAGATGTCACACAACTGCTTCCAGCAGATACAGAAATATTGTCAGAGCCAGTGTAGAAATTTTCACGAAGTTGGATCACTACCTCTGAAGTACCTGGTCAACAGGGCTGTGATGGATGGATGGGACAATGGGCCCAGAATATTAGCCTAATTGAAATGGCAATAAGCAGAAAAGGGCTGGGCTGCTAGGGTAGAAAATTTAAAACCAGTCATAGGTATACAGTATCTGTGATGTGAGTGAAATAATGATAGAAGTAGTGAATTAATAATTAAGGCATTTTTTTTTATTAAGAGTAAAAAGTAAACAAGCAGTTCTAGTACAGTGGAACCTCAAATATCAAACTTTCTTCGGTCCAGAAGGCTGTTCGAGTGCCTTTACCGAATGAATTTATTCCCATCAGGATAATGTAAATTAGATTAGTCCATTTCAGACCCTCAAAAATACACTTATAAAAGCACTTGCAAAAATACACTTACATAATTGGTCGTGTTGGGAGCAGTTCGATTTTTGAGGTTCCACTGTTCTTAGTAATCATACAGCTTAAAGAAATGAAAATTTCACCAAGTCTTCAAAGTAACAGATTATGTTAAAATTGTTGGGAACTAAACTAGTGGACTTTTCAAGCCCATGACTATGGTGCTTCTTACTTCAAGCCCATGATTGTGATATCTACTTGCTTCAAGCCCATGACCAATGTCTGCTTGCTTCTAAAAGACATAGGGAATGAATGAAGATGAGCATTTTTTTGTCTTGGTGAGAAATGGATGATGTAAAGCAATTATTTTTTAATTTAGGCCAGGGTATTTTAACAAGTTAGGAGCATCTGTAGTATGTGCTTGATATAATTTTTACTTGTGGTAGTGGGTGAAGGCTTAGTTTCAGCTTTAGTTGTTGGTATGCATGTTAATGACTTGTATTGCATGGAACTGAAAGAATGTTTAGTCTAGCACATTGTAAACCTAACACTTCTTCAGTTTAGCAAGAAAGAAATTCTTGAGATGCTTAACCCTTAAACTGTCCAAACAAATTTTTATTCACATGCGTAGTGGTCCAAAAGTAGATATATGTTTTTTTTTTACATATTTTCAAATACAGTGGACCCCCGGTTAACGAACTTTTTTCATTCCAGTAGTATGTTCAGGTGCCAGTACTGACCGAATTTTTTCCCATAAGGAATATTGTGAAGTAGATTAGTCCATTTCAGACCCCCAAACATACACGTACAAACGCACTTACATAAATACACTTACATAATTGGTCGCATTTGGAGGTGATCGTTAAGCGGGGGTCCACTGTATAACAAAAAAAAAAACGTAGATCAAAGTTTTTTTTACACGTTTTCAAATGTAAAAAAAAAAAAAAAAAAAAAGGATTACGTTTTTTTACATACTTTCAAATGTTGAAAAAACGTAGATCTACGTTTGGACAGTTTAAGGGTTAAAGCATGGACCAAGTCTATATTGTTAAGTCAGTTTAGAGAGGCAATCCAAGTTTCCTCAGTTCATCAATACCCTTCATGACTTGATAATGATGCACTGAAGGTTGGTTCCTCTCTTGCATGTGGAGTGACAATAGCTAGATCAATATCTTGGTTGATCAGGCATTTACCAGGTAAATCTGGACACAGGCCAGGCTGCAAATACAAAAATTTGGATATATCACAAGTAGGTCTTGTTTCACTCATAACTTGCTCTTTTGTATTTGAATGTGCTGTGGTAGCAAGTACAGCGATATTTTGAAAAATATAATTTATCTTGTATTTCATGTGGTGAAAGCATGGGGAGAGGAGGGGAATAAACATGCCCTTGATGTGTGATACTGACACATACTAGGAGGGAATATAATTAGCCTTATAAGTTAAGCCTTAGCCTAATCATAACAGTTCCTCCCATCTTTTAACTTCACACCTTTATCCTTCCCCTCCATCTATCTCTTCTGCTCCATCTCCCTTTTTCTCTTGAACTCTATCCCCTCCTCCATCCCTGCTTCTCTTCAGCTCTTAACCCCATACCCCATCTCTTTCCTTCTTTGTGACTTTTTAATCCCTTTCTCTTTGGCTTCACCTTTGACTTCAATTTGTACATCTTCTTGCAAATTTATATATGATATCTTCCATTTTGTTTTTACCCTGAGTGTTATTAGACAACTTAAAACAGCATAAGCACATACTTTTCTTTACTATCAGTGTGAACAGTTAACTGCTTCATATTGGCTGAAGATATAGTTTGATAAATTTTAATGTTTTAACTATTTTACAAGTTAGCCTACATATATTAAATGTGGGGGGAAATGATATGTAATGTATAAAAAATGTGAAGATATTTTTTAATAATGAAACTCATTAGGAAATTCAAGGATCAGTGTAAACTTGGTTTGGATGATTTAAGAGGGTATGGATACAACTTTTTTCTGCCTAAGTTTTATCTATTTTACAAGGAATTTAGGAATATACTTTTTTAAGTTGGATTTCTGTGCAGTTCTCTCTATGCATCTGAAAATCGGCAAATAATTTTTTGCTGACCAGGGAAACCTCAACTTGCATAGAAATCTTTAATCATATTTTTTAAATTTTATTGCAGGGGGAAAATTCTTACATTCGTGTGAAAGAAGATTACGGAGGATCAAGTCCAGCCTCGGGTGGGGGTGGGGGTGGCCGTGGGCGGTCACGGTCCCGATCCCGCTCACCTCGTGGCTATCGAGGCTCTCCTACATATTCACCAGTGCGACGATCGTATTCTCGGTCCCCATCACAGTCTCGGTCCAGGTCCCGAGAGCGTTACTAAGATACACTCGGTGGGAGTGTGATACCTGGTAAAAGTCTTGGGTACAGAGAAGTGATGTATGTCTAGCCCACAGACTTAACCTGGTGGACTCAACCCAAATATGTGATGGGTGCCAAGTAATAGGCTGCAGCATCCTATTTGGACTCATCTTTAAAAGGAGCACTAATCTCCACACTGACCTCGGGTGCCCTGAGCTGACCTGATAGTGTCTCCGGACCCATACAGCCCTTGGCACTGGACTGGAGGACGTCAGGTCTGCACTGTTGCCAGTCAAACGTCCCACTTGCCCTTTGGTTCACTGGCTGTCCCCATTATTTCTCATTTTGTTAAAAGGCCCTCCAGTGTGTATGTAGCATCATTGCCCTTAACTTAAAAGTTTGGAAAAATCAAGTTGGTTAGTGAAATGCCATATTAGATGCAAGATTGGGCAGCCAGTTTAAAAAAAAAAAATAGCACATTGCTCAGTGGCATACTTGTTTTGTGGAAATGCAGCCTAATGGAAAGTTTTTTGTACTTTTTTAGAATTTTTATTAAAGGTGACTAACAAAGATTTCCAATTTACATAGGTGTATGCAGTCTATTCTGTGGTCAATGTTCAGTATTAAGGGAACTTTCAATGTCTTCGTATACAAAGGGCAAGTTAAATTTGTAGATTTAATGTAAGACTGTATTAAGTTTACAAAAAGCATATGTTATGAGGTTAACATTAGTCAGGCAACAAGGCCAATTAAGTTTTATTTAGTGGCTCCTATGCCAATTTAAGTTCACTTGTCTAATAACTGTGCTGTTATTTTTGTTCTCACATTCCATTCTGCCTCCTCACCTGAGCAATTCTTATATCTAATATTTTTCTTAGTATTCAGTGTGTAAATACACCACATACATTTTAATAAACTGTTCAATAAAAATTTGTCTTCTGGATTTTGTATTGAATGAAGCTTTACCTGTAGGCTATAGACATCGTATGACTCGAGACTAATTGTTTGTTTTTCTCTCTACACAGTCCCGTAGCTAGTAGGCTGCTGCAATATGGCCATCCTTCCTGCCAAATTATCGTAGATTTTGGAAAGCTAGGATTTAAGAAGTGGAGGAGGAGGATTCACAGTGGCATGGACGAGAGGCTCAATCAGGATCAAAGGATCAGGAGGATACATGCTGCAGCAAGCTAGCAAGGGGAGGATCACACTATTGGATTGGATAACTTGGATCACAAAGGATCTCACACTTGGCCTTACCAAGGAGACAAAAGGATTATGCGGGGACAGGTTCTGCGCTTGGAGGAACTCACTGGAGGATCATGGATCACTTGTGGATAAGGATTTGAATCGGTCAAGGGATTCACCAAGTAGCAGAGGACTGGATTTGTGAGTTAAGAATTCACCTTCCCTCCCCTCAATTGCCTGAACATGATAATAAAATTCCCGGCATAGTCCTCTAGTTAGTACAAAGTTTAAAAAAAAAAAAAAAATTGCCAGTCTCTGACATGAATATGAAATCCTCTAGATATTTAATTGGGGTGGTTAAAGGAGAGATTTTAAAGATAAGCCAGATTTTATTTATAAAAGAAATAATTCTTGCTAGAGATAGGACGAGTCTTAAAACATAAGGGGGATATTAAAAACGAACCGTCTCGGTAATTATTAATCAGATTTTCTTTTCCAGCAACATTAGCCTTCAAGGACAACTGTTAAAATGGCAGTGATTCACCAATAAAATATCAATGTTGTTCAGAGTTTCTTTAAATCATATTCATTGGGGTGTTTTTTGGAGATATTCTTTTTGATTATAATAATAATTTTGGAGAAATTATTTGTGAATGGCCCTATATTTGGTATTAAATCTAAATTGATGAGAGAATATTGGGAATTTATTTTTATTTTTTTTTTTTTTTCCAATTAGCATCATAAGGTGCATTATCTTACCATCAGGTTGAGTACTTCAGTAGGCAATTGTTTCCTACACACAAGACTGATGTGTTGTAAAACAGCATTTCTCATTTCCTGCAGGAAGATTTAATTTTTCTCTGGATATAACCTCTGAAGGGAGGTTCCTCAGTGCTGGTGAGGAGCTCTTGATCAAAAATTAGACCAATACTCCAGTTTCTTGATTCATACCCGAGTGCTTTCCTTTTCCTTAGGTTCTGTATAACTCCTGCAGGTTTGGTACCCCACCCCCTGGATGCAACTCATTTAAGTATGTACTTACTGGTACTGCTGCATTGCTCGTCAAGGGAGGTTCCTTGATGCTTGTGGCTTTTCATTAAAGGAATTTTACCTTGGAATGAACCTGATTACCGTCCATTCTCCATGTGCTGTATAACCCCTATGGGTTTAACACCTAGCCAGAAATATAATTGCAATTGAAAGAACAAGGGGCTACATGGTACCTAATATTTAAAGATAATTTGGGGGAGAGGCAAAGTGACAGTGATATAGAATCACCCCCGCTGTATGACCATTAGAGGTTTAGCGCTGTTTTTCTTCTGATCATCCTATTTGTGACTGTTAACCGAACCTGACTTCACTTCTGTTTATTAACATAGTGACAGTAGTATGATGACTGAGACATACTACTTGTTATGCAGAGCATTTCAAGCAAATTGCTGGTACTTTCTGTGAATATATACAAATGTAGTTATGATTATAATAGAACCAACCTTCACTGATGTTCTCCCATCGAGGCAGTGGCCCAAAAAAGAATCACTTTACCATCAGTCTGCAGAGGCACCCTCTTCAAGGGGGACTCCTTGCTGTGGTGAAGAGGCTCTTGGGCTGAGGAATCAGACCTGTCGGTCTCCTTCCTCAGACCGAACCTAATTACCCCCCAATCCCCCCCTCCCTATCCCACCCTCCCCTTTTTCCTTTCCTCCTCCTCCTCCCCACCCCTCCCTTTTGCCCTTCCTCTTTTTGGCCTTTGGGATTTCTCCCACAGGTGCGCTAGTTCCTAGGTAGGGGAAAGGACACCGGGGTCCATCCCATTCCGTTGAGGTTCTTGGCGGTGGCGTAGTTTGCTGTGGAATCTGGATCGCCTGGGGATGTCCCGATCCCTCTCCGGTACCCCGGAGTAGCTTTGGGTGTCTTTCGGGCGACGGGTGTATCTGGAAGCCACCTTTCGGATTCCGGGGGTGGTGGCCGAAGGAGGTATGCTTTGTGGCGGATATCCAGCCGCCCTCTCTTCTGTCCACCGAGGTAGCTCGGCAGATGTGAGGTTGCTATCCGGGATTGCTGGTTTACTGGCATGAAGGGTAGGGTATGGCAAGGGTTCCATGCTGCATCTGCGCTACTAGCGGTGCTGAGGTCCTCTTGGGCGAGGAGTGAGATTTCTGGCCCCTTCATTCCTCCTGGGAACTATTCCTCCCCGCTCCCCCATTTTTTTTTATTTTTCTTTTCTTTTCTTTTTTTTTCTTAAAAAGAAAAAGCAAAGGAGTAACCTAACCATGGAGAACCCAATCCATGAACCCACTACCCCTGGGCCCCTTCTTGATACTGCACCCCATTCTGACTGCCTTGTTTTTGGACCACTCTTCAGACACTCCTGATGCCCCTGTACCTCTTGCTGGTGCTGTTTCCTCACCCGCTTCAGGTACCGGGGCCTCGACTGACTCCTTCGATTTATCTAACCTCCGCTCTCCTTTGACTATGCTTCCAGCCTCTCCCTCTACGGTACGGCAATTTTCGAATCGCCAGCCCATTTCAAGCCGGACCAACTCCGGTCCTACTCCTAAACGCCAACGTCAATCTCCTGATGATGCTCCTTCGTTACCTTCCCATTCTACTTGGAAAAGGCCGACACGTCATGCACTCCCTCTCCACGCTCAGTTTCGGACCACACAATGGACTAAATTCTTTACTTTAAGACCGACTTCTTCTGCCTATCTTTCTGACCATAGTATTGGCAAAGCGCTCCTGCGTCATGTTGGTTGAGATATTTCATTTCATGCTCTCAAAAGTGGTACGTGCATCGTCACTGTCCAGAATGCTACCCAAGCTCATGATCTTTCTCTCCTTTCAAATATCGATACTACTACTATCACTGTTGAAAAACATCTTTCTCTCAATTCTTGTAGTGGTACTGTCATTCTGCCCCATACCATAGTCCAACAGAATTTCCAGTCATGTGGCAATGACATTCTTGAACAGCTGGAACTCCAGGATCTCCCAATCCTCAAAGTAGACACACCCCTCAAGGAAGGTTCCTTGATGTTGGTGAGGGGCTCTTGATTTAGGGAATTGGATCTGTGCTCCAGTTCCCCGAATTAAGCCTGAATGCCTTCCACATCCCCCCCCTAGGCGCTGTATAATCCTCCGGGTTTAGAGCTTCCCCTTGATTATAATAATAATAATCAAAGTAGACACTTATGTCCTTCCTGCCCGTGGGCGGAGACGTTACTCTTGCAATGTGGCTCGTTTAACTTTTGACAGCCGAGAACTCCCGTCCTCTGTATATGTCGCGGGACATCGATTACATGTTCGAAAGGTGATACCTACACCGCAACAGTGTAGAAATTGCTGGCGTTTTGGTCACCCAGCGAAATATTGCACATCTATGGCCGAATGCCCAGTCTGTGGTGCCGACGACCATTCTAATACATCTTGCAGTCAACCTCCATCTTGCCTTAATTGTAATGAAGCTCACTCTTCATACTCCCGCCGTTGCCAGGTCTACTTAAATGAACGTGAAATCCGTTGCCTCAAAGAGGCAGAAGGTCTCCCTTATGTTATGGCAGTTACTCATCTCTGCCTCCAAGGGAGACTACCCCGTGTTTCTTATTCTCGTGTTTCAAAACATCCCCCCACTTCTGGGGTCCCATCTTCTGCAGTCTCCTCTGTTGTTACCCCTCCCATAGCCACTCCGGCATCTAATCCTTTTGCTGTCCTTGGCTCTGACATCCCGACTACAACTCAGTCTGTTCTCACATCTTCGTGTCCTTCCTCACAAGCCCCAGTATCGACAAGACCTCGTACGACACCTAATACCAATCGCCCCTCTACTTCTCAGAAGTCCAAGAAATCCACATTGCTCAAATCTTCTTTGCCCCTTCCTTCCCTTCTTCCACCTCCACACTTTACCTTTCCAGTCTCTGTGCCTAGTTCTTCCCCTCTCTCTGGCTCTATTACAAGTGTGGAGATTCACCCTCCTCCTCGTACTATGCCTTCCGCCCCTGTCCCCTCCCAAGTTTCTCCCTCTTCTGCCACCTCCCAGGTTTCTGCCTCTTCTGTCCCCCCCACACTTCATCTCCAGTCCCTTACACTCTTCCCTCCCCCTCTACTTTGGTACAGTCCATTACTGTCCCAATCTTTACTTACCCTCCTCCTTCTATCTCCAATATGGTCTCCCATACATCTTTGAATTCAGAAACACTTGAAGCCATTTCAGAATATATTGCAGAGACACCACTTCTGTTACTTGGTGATTTTAATGCCCACCATTTCCTCTGGGGGGGGGTCTCATTGTGACTCACGTGGCATCCAGTTGGAGGCTTTTCTCTCCTCTCACCCCCTTCATGTTTTAAATACGGTTACTCCCACCCATTTTGATCCTCGTATTCATACTCTCTCTCGCATCGATTTATCAGTCTGCTCTTCCTCCACTGCACGAGACTTCACCTGGTCTGTTCTACCGGACTTACATGACAGCGATCATTTTCCAATCATTCTTACTTCCTATTCACCACCTTTCCGTAGCCCTCGCTGGCAATTTGATCAGGCAAATTGGGATCTTTACTCACACCTCACTGCTTTTAGTGAGGTTCCTTCTTCATCCTCCATTGATGAGCTCCTACACCTCTTCTCGACGTCAGTTTCTACCGCAGCTTCTCATTCTATACCCCAAACCTCAGGCAGGCATTCTCAGAAGTTCGCCGCCCCTGTTTGCTCCGTCCCTTTTCTCTTCGCCTACATTCACTCTTGTCTTCCCTTCAGTTACCACCTTTATATGTTCATGTAGCATCTCACTTTTCCCTACCCACCTGGGAAGTTCTAGCTGTTCGGGTCTGTTCTTTCTCACTCCCTTGCTCGAAAGCTCAACTGCCTACGGTGGCTTCCCGCTCTCTTTTTCTTGATCACTTCCACTCCCATTCTCATGCCACCGCTGTGTACACAGATGGCTCTAAGTCTTCAGACGGTGTTGGATTCGCAGCAGTGTTTCCGGACAGTGTCGTGCGGGGGCATTTACTATCTTCAGCTAGCATTTTTACTGCTGAACTGTATGCCATTCTTGCAGCACTTATTCGTATCTGATCTATGCCTGTGTCATCATTTGTAGTAGTCTCAGACTCCCTTAGTGCTGTACAGGCTATACGAAAATTTGATACATCTCATCCCCTAGTTCTCCGTATCCAACTTTGGCTACGCCGTATCTCTACCAAACATAAAGATATTGTTTTTTGTTGGGTCCCTGGTCATGTCGACGTACAGGGCAATGAACAGGCAGACTGCTGCGCGGTCAGCAGTACATGACCTACCAATTTCCTATCGAGGTGTTCCATTTCTGGACTATTTTGCTGCAATAGCTACCCACCTTCGCACCCGTTGGCAACAACGTT